AAGGTCTTTTCCCACCTTAACAATTCCATGACTCTCCATTACCAACCTGCCCACGAGATGGGACACCCTGGCAGCCTCTCCCTCGGTGAGGACACAGGAGAGGATTCTGCACCAATTAACTGCTTTCCACAAGTTTCCCTCCACATTCCCCTCAGCCAGGCCCCAGATATAAAGATCCAAATCTCAGAGTGGAGWCTACAACAAAACCCCCAGAGCATCTCCCCTGGGAGAAGTGGAAAGGGCAGAGCACAAAACTCCAGGTAAGGGCTTGAGGCAGACTAGAAGAACCTCTTCTTTGTGAGAAACATTTAATTCAACACCATGACTTACAAGAGGACAGATTTACAGAGTAATAASTGTAACAGACTGGTCAGAAAGGAAAAGAGTGGTCGCTGCCTGCAGTGCCAGGTAAAGCTCCCCAAAGCAGCACCTGGCAGAGAAGCAGCAAAGTACAATTCAGTCTCCTTGCAGTACTCAAATGAGCARTATCAACCAATTTTGTTTTCAAACCTTTAAGAAAAGAGTGAACAYGGGATCAATCACTCTGGTATGGGATATTTTTCAGGGATCACTAAGCTGCACTACTCCCAAAGGCAATTCCCCRGCCCCTGGCTGTCCCTGCTAATGTCTCTCACACAATAAAGGCTCTGGGAGCTACTTTCTTCCCCAAGTTTTGGGATACCAACAACTCATACAATTGGTTGGTGGCACAATATTTCACCCACCACTTTGTAGTGTTCTCTCAGCCACGCATGGATTATGCAATGGATACCCTAAGACTAAAATAACTTTTGCAACCCAGTCAACACATTCCCCAAGCTATCAACTCTCATCTTCCTCCCCTCTCCTTGTSTCCCTTCCCAGAGAAATCCATTTTTAGCCACAAGTAACCCCAATATGCTCAAAGATGCACTGGAAGAGACTGAGGAATCAATCAAGGTACCCATGGTGAAGCCAAATACTTATAAACACATTAAGGCAGGTTTCACATCAGTCCAATTTTCGACACAAAATGCTGGTCACTTCACTGCACATGCAAATAAGAAAGATTCAATACTTAATAAAAAGCTTTCAATTTTTTAGATATCAATTATAGAAAAATCAACCTTTTTTCTTTTTTTTTTTTTTTTTTGAAGAGGTCAGAACATTACTGCACACAAAAGCAGGTGTGTAATCACACCTGTTGGAATGGATCCCCTTCCCTCCACACAGAGTAACAGAGGGCAGGTTCTTGGCACCAGAAGAGAAAAAGGAGGAAGTTTTCCCCATTGTCAGTCAGAAATGAGTCACCCTTCCATCCTCAGTTGAGAAAGTCCTTCTGACTGGACTTAGACCAGAGTAAAATGTACCTCAGGCTGGGTATATTTGCCTCCAAGACTCTGTTCAAGAATGTTTGGACACACATAACTGCATCCAAACCGTGGTATGGAATAACCAAAAACCCCAATTCCCAGAGCTGGCAGCCCAAGCCCTCGAGTGCAACTTCCCCTCCTCACCCAAGCTCAGGTGGGAGAAGCACTGGCAGCTCAGCTCTGAGACTGCACTTCCAAGACCAATGTGGTCTSGTGAGGAAATGGCAATTCAGTGACTGGAATTCACACATGGAATGAATGAACCACCCATGACATGAAATGACCTCCCTACATCAGGTACAAACAGGTAGCCCACAGCAGAGTAGCCAAGGAGTGAGTGAAACAGCATCTCCCTCCCTTGGGTTAGAGAGAAAATTGTTTCTGTGGGTCATTAAAAGTACAT